TCATTGTGGGAAAATTCTACTACCAGTCCTTCATCACCTTACACGAAATAGGGTGAATACATCTCATGAACAGCAAAGTCTACGATTAACGGTGGTGAACATTTGGGGTAAAGAATTAGAAAATTTGATTTAGTTCTTCCTCAACAACGGATATCCGAGATAAGTAGTACAAAGAAATATACTGGCTATGAAGAGCCAAAAGCAGGACGAGAATTATGGAAAATGTTAAAGCTGGAGGAAAACAAACAAAAGTTGCTATGACTCATTTTCTGCGAACTAGCTCAAAATTTACCGCCAATATTAAGAAAATTGAATATTTGGATGATAAGAAGGAACAAATAAGAATTTTCACAAGTCTACTCAAGAAAGACGAGATAATGGAAAAATAGTATTGTGGGAGTTTACTGCATAGCATGCAGAGTCTGAAAAAAGAAATATAATGGCGAACCAGGGAAAATATTGGCATATGGATCAATGAATATAAAGGCTTTGAAGGTAAATGGATACTAAAAGATCCTAAATAGTTGAATACATCGCACAGACTAGACATGAGATGAATTGGAGAGCAATGGATAGAAGGCCCTTATATGGTGAAAAAACGAACAAATGTAAGAGTATGGATGTCATTGATATCTTTTGGGAGAATGATTTAATAAAAAGTAGATTACAAGAAGGCGGAGTTAGCAATGTTTACGTATTCTTCATTTAGTTTGAAAAGGCGAGTGGAAGTGCCGACTACGATGCCGGCGAAGCGTCTAGGAATGTACCACGTCCATGGTCCGACTTTGGAAATTATTATGTATACAATGGACTACGGACAAGTTGCATTCCTCTAAGTCTTCCTACCAATATGATCAAGTTGCGAAAACAAGTTCAAACAACTTCTATACAACGAAAGGAGACTGCGACCCCACAAAAGGACACACTATCTTTGTATTCATACCTTCGATAGCAAGCAAAGGAGGCTTTATTAGGCTGGAATTTGGTTTTTACTCTCAAATCGCATTTAAGAGCAATGCACTCACGTATGAAATAAGACGCAATCACCTACGGTTACATTGCAGGATCAAAGCCATAAGTGTTTTAGTGGAAGATGCAGCTGTTCGGTCTCAACTGCACCCATTTCACGGTTCATCTCGAGCAACTTAACATAACTTATGAACAAATATAGACTCAAAGCATAGGACATAAAACCAAAACAAGTGATGCATAAGTTTACCAAATTGGAATATAAGAAGGAAGTCGGTTTGAAGCTGGTCACCTTTCTTGCCTTAGTGTTTTGGGTTACTTATCGTTAAGTTTTTACGATATACTCCACATGACTGACGGAGGCTCAGCAGCAATTTATTGGAATCGCACGGCTGTGCGCAGCGGGCCTATTCATACAAATCTACAACCACAGCTCCAAGACAACCACTCCACAGTCACCGGTGAAACCAATTTACGCATCGCTTCCACTATCCTCTTGAAACGAAATGAAAGGCACTCT